CTGGCCAAGGCAAACTAAAAGGAACTATTAAAGGAGGGTGTGATAATGGTGACTCATCAAATAGAGACTTGGTAAAAAGGTAGAAATTGTAAAGGAGGAACAAATGGGAATTCTGGAGCTGAAAAGCATAATAACTCAATGAAAGATTCATTAGAGGGGTCAACAGTTAAGTTGGCAGAAGAAGAAATCAGTGAACTCAAAGACAGAGCAATAGAGATTGAAGAAACTGAGGAATAGAAATAAAAAATAATGAACAGAGCCTCAGAGAAATGTGGAACATCATTATTGCACCAGCATACACATTATGGGGGTAACAAAAGGAGAGGAGAAAGAGGAGGGACAGAAAAAATATTCTAAACAGGAATGGCAAAGATGACCGCAGTCGAATGCCTCACCAGAAACTCTGAGTGGCAGACCAAGGGCATTCTCCTACCATCGTCCAAGTGATGGAGCCAACTGAGGAAAAGGAGCAGGGAGACCAGCATCCTGGTTTGCCCAGGACCAAGGAGCATCCTGGAGGTGGGACATTCAGTGTTAAAACTGGGACTCCCAGTGGACTCAGACTGGGGTGAGTGGGATGCACGGGAACACTGTGAAGCAGCTTCCCAAAGCACCCCTTTGCCTTCTGAAACCCCAGCACAGTGGCTGTACTATTCCATTAGAGGCCATGCCCTGCTGTATCACCTGAAAAAAAGGGACTGTTTGGACAAGCTCCAGGGGGCTCCTGGCTCTGAAACTATACAGTTCCGTGATTTCTACAAAACACTCTGAAATCTGCTGTGAACAGTGTGTGCCTTACTACAGAGCCCAGAGCCCTGGACTGTGATGGCTGAGCCCCAGGCCTACATAAAAGCAGCATCCATCAAGTTCTCTAGGCCCCAGGCCAGTCCTGTCTGGGTGACCATGATGTAGGGTGGAACTTAGAACTCCATGAGCCCTGGGTCCTCTGCTATCCTGAGCAGAGCCCTGTGCCCCTGGGCAAATCAGTTAAGGTTGCTGGTTACTGTCTGCAGAAGGAGCTTGAAGAGCCTTGCCTGCCTGCTGCACGTGGCCATGTCAAGCTGCAGGGTGTCTGCGTGCAGAGCTGCTCTCTAAGTGTTCCAGCGAGGGCCTGCCTCTCGCACTGGGCCCAGATGCAGTTCCTGGCCTCACTCCTGTGTGGAGGGCCTGGGGCTGCAGGGTGGCCTCCAGGCATAAACCCAGATGACATCCCCAGTCCACGGCATCTGACTGCTCAGTTCCCTCTTCCCTCTGAGGTCCAGTTGGAGGCACCCTGGCTCTTACCCCAACATTTCCCTGCCTGGTAGAAGAGTTAGGTCTGCCCAAGGAGCGGGCTGCTGTGGAGAGAGGACCAGGAGGAGAAGGAATGGAAGAGGGAGGGAGGGGAAGGAATGGGAGAGGGAGGGAGGGGAAGGAATGGGAGAGGGAGGGAGGGGAAGGAGGGAAAGGGGGAGAAGGAGAGAAAGGTGGGGATATGGGAGGAGGAGAGAGAGGAATAGAAGGAGGAGGGGGAGAGAGAGGAAGAGGTGGGGAGGCAGAGGAGAGAGGGAAGGAGGAGGAGGGAGAAGAGGAAGAGAGGGGAGAGGAAGGAGGGTGGGGAGTGCAGGTGGACTCTGACACTAGCCATACTCCTGTCCTTCCCCATTAGGATGTCCAAGCCTTCCCTACATTTTGTGAACCAATACATTTGCATTTTCTGAAGAGAGTTCAAATTGGCTTTAATTATTTATAACGGAGAAAGCCCTGGCTAATGTGGACAGTGGAGGGAAGCCACATTTTATTTCTTCTTCCTCCCTCCCTCCCACTCTGGGCACCTGGGAGGGTTACCTTTCTCTGTTCCTTGGTGCAGGTGTAGCAAGTGAACAGAGTGGTGCTTGTCGCTACCCAGGCACCTGTGGGTGCCACTCTCTAGTCCTCTGAAGCTATGCCAGTGATGCTTCAGATGAAGTGAGAGCTGACTCACTGGGCATCCCCAAAATCCATCATAGGGGTCTTAATAGCGGTGCGCGTCAGACTCTTGGTTCTATCCTGGTCACAGGGGGCAAAAGGGTAGACTTTGAGTTTCCTGAGTTTTAATTGGACTTTGTTGCTCCAAAAGCTTCAGTTTTATCTTTAAAAAAAAAAAATAATAATTAACTTATTTATTTTATGCTCACCTGAGGATATGTTTATTGACTTTAGAGAGAGAGGAAGGGAGAGAGAGAAACATTGATGTGTGACAGAGGGAAACATTGGGTACATGCCTTGACCAGGGATTGAAACTGCAACCTGGGTATGTGCCCTGACTTGGAATCAAACCTGTAATCTTTCTGGCGTATGGGAGGACACTCCAACCACTGAGCAACCCCACCGGGCCTCAGTTTTCTATCACTGACAGGACGAGGCAAGCAGTTGCCTCTTGCAGCACAGAAGGGCCCTGAGTTTGTGGGCTCTGTTCCCTTCCATCCGTGCCTGCAAACCAGTCCGTTCTTTTCTAAGCTTGTCCCTTTCTTCTAATATCTTGTCAAAGGCAGCCCATGGCAGCAGCCATGCAATGCTGACACTGCTTCATCAGCATCTTCTCCTGGGGCAACGCATCCACTGGGTATATCGTCTGCTGGTGACAGTTTATCAAATGTATGCCACTTCATAACATGAACCCCTTTCCATTCACGTTAACAGCATCCTCACTGCCCCTCACAGTCACTCTGCCAGTGCACATATTTTTTTTGTTTCAGAAACAACATTCTTCCAGTGTCTTCCAGGATAGGCTAGGTTACGGTTGGGTAACAAACAACCCTCCAGGAGGTCTCAGTGGCTTATAACATCCAAGTTTTTCTTTCTCACTCAAGCTACATGCACTTGAAGGTAACTTGGTGACTTGCGTTTTTAGCTTCTAGGTCTGTGCATTAGGAGGGAGCCAAACCTTGACTTGGTGCAGAAACCACTGTGCACCAACCAGCAGCCTTGGACTTGCCCTGGTGACTGGGGGAATCTGGTTGCCTCCCTTGAGGAGGGGAACATGTATTTTACCTGTGGAAGGGAGAGTGAGACAAATATTTGGCTACCAAAAGGGTGGATTTAATTCTAGTCACTAGTGCTGCTCAGAGACAGTTTGGGTGTTGGCCTACTGACATGTCCACGATGGTCCTTCCCTTCTCCCATAAAGTCAGGACTGGACTTCTGTGGCCCACGGATTGTGAGGGGAAGTTACACACATCCCTTCCAGCTGCAAGCTTTAAGGGCCCGTGTGACCACACAGTGGTGGCTGTTCTGCCAGCTGGGAGCTGGAGTGAGAGGGCAAGGAGCAGAATTCCCATGTGGTGTGGCTGGAAATGAACACTTGTCTTTATAAACCACAAGGTTGGGGGGCTATCTGTGACTACAGCATACCTGGACTCGTTTGGGGGTATTTCTTGCACTATCCTATCTTGACTGACATGGAAGGCAATACCCCCTTTCTGCTGGGCACCAGGTGTGCTTGGAGCTACAGCATCCATCCTGTGACTGAGAGGAGACAGGTTAAAAAAAAAAAAAAGACAAAGGAAAAGATAACACAGTGAGAAAGGATGGTGGCACAGAAATATGAAAGGAAAGGCTGGGCCACTGGGGTTGACCACTGAACTAGACCTCGGGACTCCCCTGCCTCCTGGCTGCCCTAGGGGAGAAAACAAAGCCCTTACTCATCATATGAGTGGGGTATTGGTACTTGGATTTGCACAGGTGGCACAGAAGACAGAATAATGGCCCGTCAAAGATGTTCACATCCTGATCCCCATGTGTATGTTATCTCACGTGGGAAAAGGCATGTTGGTGGTTCGTTTAAGTTAAGGATTTTGAGATGAGATTATCCTTGATTATCCCGGCCTTCCCAGTGTCATCATAAGAGTCCTTATAAGAAGGAGGCCATAAGGTGCAAGTCAGAAGGAGGGAGGCAATGGAAACAGTTGTGATGCACTTTGAAGATGGAGCAAGGGACCAGGACCCAACAAATGCAGGCGGCTTCTTGAAGCTGGGTGAGCTTGAGGAAAGGGGTGTTTCCCTGGAGCCTCCCGGAGGAATCCAGCTCTGCTGTCACCTTGGTTTTCATCCTGTACGATCCCTTTTGGACTTCTGACTTCTAGAACTGTAAGACAATGAATGTGTTGTCTCAGCCACTAAGTTTGTGGTAATCTGTATAGGATACTGATACAAGTGGTGTCCAGTAACATAGTAACAGCAGACCACACCCCCAATGTCCCCCACCCCAGTCTTCTCCTCCCTCCCCCAGTGCTCTTTGGTGCAGCTAGCATTTCCTGCATATTTAAAAGGTGAATCCCTGAAGTGTTGAGAGTTAGCCAGAGGAAAGGAGTGGACATGTGCTAGGTAGGCTGGAACTCATTTCCTACTGGCCACTGGACAAAAGGAGGGTCCTGGGACATGAGTTCAGTGTTCTTGGTCATTGCCTGTCCTGTCTGGTCTCCCAGCTACCCAGAACTGCAGGTCTGCAGGCTTGGGCCAACCCCAGCTACAGTAATTTCAGTTCTCTGAAACACCCAGTTTGGGGTGGCTGGGATTTGAGAGGAGCTGCAGCTGAGTTGGGGCTAGAGCAAGGAGCAGGCCATCGTGGCTCTGGGGAGCCAGGTAACAGACTGGCCCAGGAGGTCCTCTTAGTAACAGGTCAGTTCTGAGCAGCCATGCCTCCTGTGTCCATGCCCACCAACCAGACCCCTCGAAGTTCTGCTACTTTCTTGCTGAGGGTGTCAAGGACAGCCTGGAGGGACACTGAACAGAGGGCACGGGTGGCAGAAACTAAAGTCCTAGGGCAAGGTGGTGGGACCGGGAAGGAGACCACTCACTGCAGGAGGCGCCCCGCCCTTCACACTGGGCTGGGGCGGCGGTGTCGGGAGGGGGCGGTCCACCAGGTGAGGGGGCTGGCGGGCCTGGAGGGCGGGGCTAGAGGGTTTGCCCAGCGGGCAAGTGTGGGCAGCGCAGAAAAGGAGCGCAGGAGACCCGCCTGCGGGTGCACAGAGACGGGCGTGATGGAGCGAGCGCGGGACCCGGGTCTTGGGGACTCGGCACTGCACCGCTACCTAGATGGCGAGTTCTGGCTCCTCAAGAACGAGCTGCGCGGGCTCCTGGGCGGCTGCCCGCTATTCCGGCCCAGGTATCGCGCCTGCCGGTGCCTCCTCAGCCCCCGCGCCCCAGGCCCTGTCCCCTCCGTACCCGCGCATCCCTGCAGGGACCACCTGGATAATCCGCGGCGAGGGGAGGCATGTGCAGAGCCCGAGATGGCCCCCCCTTCCACATGTGTGGGCGTCGCAGGACAGCGACCTCATCAGCCCGGGGAGGGTGTTCCCCTGCGCGCCCACCAGCCCGGGGAGTCGGGGTGATGGCGGCCCCGCGGTGCCCGGGGAGTCGGGGTGATGGCGGCCCCGCGGTACCTGGGGAGTCGGTGAGTGGCGGCCCGCGACTGAGGTGGTGCTCAGCTGAAAGTCGTGCTGGGAGGTCCAGCCTTGCTTCTGAATTTCAGTTTTCCGAGTCCCCGCCTTTGGTGTCCCACCCTGGTGGAGAGAAGGCGGAAAGGGGCCACCGGGTAACTGTTGGGAACAGGTGCAGGGAAGCCGGCAGGACAGAGTGCCGGCGGGAAGGACCGCACTGTCCCCGCACCGGGATGGATGTCCCAGCTGGCAGGGAAGGGTGTGTGTGTGTGTGTGAGTGTGTGTGTGTGTCACTGGGTCTCTTCCTCCTCTGCTCTGCTTGGCAGTTGATCCCTCCTAGACCTCCAGAAGAGCCCACTCCTGGAACATGCCTCTGAGCCTCAGCTTAAAAAACGCCAACGTTTTCTGAAGGATGAACTAGTTGGCGTGTCTAGTTAGCCCGCCTTTAGTGCATCTCTCTAGAATGAACGGGGCTGGGAGGGAAGGAGATGCCTTGAGTAAAAGTAGGGTGTCTCTGGAAAAGAAGCTGGGGTTTCTGCCCTGGGAGGTAACTAGTGTGTGTACTCAGGGAAGGAGAGATGTGGGAAATGGTGGTGTTTTCCCTGAGTGACTCACGCATAGTTCTTTTTCCCTCTCACGCATAGTTCTTTTTTAAAAAAATAAATATTTTAAAAATCCTGCTATATGCCATTTCCTCTTTTGTTGTTGTTGTTAATGCTCACACCAGGATGTTTTTTCCACTGTTTTTTTTTTTTTTTTTTTTATGGAGTGGAAGAGAGAGAGAGACGGGGGGGGGGGGGAGAGAGAGAGAGAGAGAGAGAGAGAGAGAGAGAGAGAGAGAGAGAGAGAGAGAGAGGAGAGAGAGATGTGAGAGACACACATCGATTGGTTGCCTCCGGCACAGCCCCAACCTGGACCTGGATCCAACCTGCAACCCAACTACTTGCCCTTCACCAGGAGTGGAGCCTGCGACCCTTTGGTCGATGCTCTAACCGCTGAGCCAGATCAGCCAGGGCTGCCATTTACTTTTTAAAATATGTTTTTATTGATATTTTAGAGAGAGAGGAAGGAAGAGGGGGAGAGAGGTAGAAACATCGGATATGAAAAACATCATAGGCAGGCTCCCGCACGCCCCCTACTGGGGATCCAGCTGGCAGCCCCGGCTTGTGCCCTGACTGGGAATGGAACCAGTGCGTGGGAAGACGGCTTAATCCACGGAGCCACTCCGGTGTGGCACACACACAGTTCTCTGTGTCATTGTTTTCAAGGTGTGGTCCAGGGTCTCCTGGCAGTACCCAAGACTGTTTCAGGATATTCACAAATTTAAAAAGTCTATTTAAAAATTACGATCAGATTACTATTATAAAATAGTATTTAAACAAATTATTTTTATAATAATACTAAGGTGTTATTGGCCTTCCCCTTCTCATGTTCTCACAAGTGTACAGAGGTGGTTTCCAGACACCACCTGCGTGCTATGTGTATTCCCACAGAGTAAATGCAGAAGCAGTTCCGAGGATTTGGTTGTCTCCTTTTTTCCCCTTATCCCTCCTATATCCTCTTCTACCTCCACCCCTACCCCTCTGTCTTCTGTTAAGACAGACATTTAAGGGACTTGTAAAAACTCAGAACAATACCACTCATCTTACTAAATTTTCTTTTTGTTTCGCAGAATATATTTATTTTCATAAAAAAGGCATTTAATGAGTTTACTGCTGTTATTTTTAAATGATTTAACTATATTTAAACATTTTTCAGTTATAATTTCTAATATGGTAAATGTCTGGATATTCGGGTGTCTCAATACTTTTTTTAAGAGTTTATTTTTTTAGGGCAGATTTAGGTTTACAACAAAATTGAGATGCAGCTATAGAGATTTTCCATATGCCCTTTGCCTCTACACATGTCACACGTGTATAGTTTTCCCCATTATCACCATCACTTAACAGAGTGATACATTAATTATTATCTTTTTTTTTTTTACCAAGGGTGAACCCTACTTTGACATGTCATAATCACTCAAAGTCCATAGTTTACATTAGGGCTCACTTTTTAAATTTTATTTTAATATTATTATTATTATTCTCACCTGAGGACATTTTCCTATTTTTTGTTCAGGTAGAGTGGGAGGGAGAGAGAGGAACAGAGAAACATTGATGTGAAAGGGACACATGGAGTGGCTGCCACCCATACGACCAACCAGGGTCGGGGACAAACTGCAACCGGGGTACGCGCCCTTAGCAGGAACCAAACCTGGGTCTCTCTGGACCACAGGCTAATGCTCTAACCGCTGAACCAAACTGGCCAGGGCAGGGCTCACTCTTGGTGGTGTACATTCTATGGGTTTGGACAAATGTATGATGCTGACTTGTATCCACATTATGGCATCTACAGAATATTTTCACTGCCCTAAAAATCCTCTGTGCTCTGCCTCTTCATCTCTCCAGTCCTCTTACGCTGGCAACAATTGATCTTTTTCAGTTGTTGCTAATCCTTATCCAAGAATATTTTTCCATTGATTTTTAGAGAGAGCAGAAAGGAGGGAGGGAGGGAGGAAGGGAGGGAGGGAGGGAGGGAGGGAGGGAGGGAGGGAGAGGGAGAGAGAAACATCTATGTAAGAGAGACACATCTATTGGTTGCCTCCTGAACAACCCTGACCTGGGATTGAAGCTGCAACCCAGGTACATGCCCTTGACTGGAATCGAACCCATGACCCTTCTGTCTGAGGGCTGACACTCTAACCTCTGAGCCACACTGGCCAGAGCTCTTTTTAATTTTTTTTTTTTAAATTTTTTTGTTCCACTGATCTTTATATTGTCTCCATAGTTTTCCCTTTTCCAGAATGTCATGTAGTTGGGATCATATATTATGCAGCTTCTTCAAATTCACTTCTTTCACTCAGTAACATGCTTTTAAGTCTCCTTCATGCGTCTTCCTGACTTGACAGCTCATTTCCTTTCAGTGCTGAATAATATTCCATTGTCAGGATGTACCAGTTTGTCAATCCATTCACCTACAGAAGGACATTTTGTTTTTTTCCAATGGAAAAATGTCCTTGGGTGAGGATGAAAAAAAAAAAAAAAAGTTTTGCCAATTATGAAAAAAGCTGCTCCAAACATCTGTGCAGTTTTGTGTGGAGACCTCCACAGTTTCTAAAAGAAGGCCTGCTAACGAAGGTGTGCGCAGTTCTGCCACATCCCTTCACACACGCATCTGTTCCGACACTCCTCAGTCTTTTTAGTTTATTCCTGGGCTGTTGTCTCTTTGCTTTTTCAGTTGAGATGGCTGCAGTTTAAAATCCGGAACAATTCTGTCCTGGCCGGTTTCTCAGTGGTTAGAGCATGGGCCCTTGGACCAGAGAGTCCTGGGTTCGGTTCCCTGGGGCACGTACCTCAGTTGCAGTTTGTCCCCGGCCCCGGTTGGGGTTGTGTGGGTGGCAACCAGTTGTTGTGTCTCTCTCACATCGATGTCTCTCTCTCTCTCTTCCTCCCTCTCTCCCTCCCGCTCTAGCTGAAGATAAATGCAAAAGTGTCCTCAGGTGAGGCTAAAAATAAATAATAAAAATAAATGAAATAAAATATGGAACAATTCTAATACTCAAACTACCGATTTGGGCCAAGTAGAAGGTACTTTCTTGTGAGCTGCACAACCTGCTTAGGGACAGAGGGAGGGGCAGCCGGCTTGGAGAGCCCAGCCCGCCAGCAGCCTTCTTCTTGTGTGACTGCCGTCAGTGAGTGCACCTGAGCTTACCTTGGCTCACCCACGGAATGACGACGTCTGTGTGCTGGTTGTTGTGACCTTTAAATGAGAAACTGTTGAGTAGGAATTCAGTAATGCTGGCCATGGCATGACACCAAAAAACCCCCTAAAAAAAACAAAAAACAAACAAACAAAAAAACAGATAAAAATCCCATCACCCTAACCAGCACTTTTCCATTCTTTCCAGTTCTTCTTTATTGACTTCATAGTTTCAGAGTGGTAATAAGAGCACACACAACATTTTGTATTGTTTTCCTCAAGTGCTTGGATGTGCTATCCATTTGAAAGTTTACATTGTATGCTCAGATTTGATCTTCTGTGTTAGAGGACAGTGTGGTTCATTTCTTGATGTTTTAAAATCATGCCAAAATAAAATGCTCCACAGGAGACCAGAAATAAAACCTCTCTAGTCACTGATTCTTGGAGGCAATGTCAGGCCTCCTGTGTCTGGTGCCCCCACCCCAGGCCTTTGAAGTTGAAGTAGGTGTTGTGTGTGGGGTGGGGGGTGAGGCAGCATAGTTCTGTGAGCACTGTGTGTCTAGTGGGAATTTGCACAGGATCAGGCACTTTCAGGACATAAGAGCCCAGGAAATGATTCTTCTTCAAAAGAAAAGAGCTGGTGCAATTTCCTGTGCACATAGCAGGTGCCCCCCCCCCCCCCCCAGCACAGGCCTCAGTCTCTACGCTGCTGCTCCCAGGTGTGGGCTCAGCAGGCTCCCCACTGAGAGAAGGCTTGTTCTCTCCCCCAGCGATGAGCTTCAGGCCCGCCTCACTGTCCACTGTGTCCTGGGTGCTGAGGGTCCTGCCTGTCTTGCTGGGCACTATGGAAGCAGGAGGATTCCAGGAGGCCTGAGGCTCCTCACTGGGGTTTGCAGGGAGCATTTAAATGCAACATCTGAAATGAGATAAGCTTTTCAAATGTTTTTGAGTTCGTTTCTTGGCAAACTGGAGCTCTCTCGTGAGGGCCTGGCTGGTGAGGGTGTATATGTGTGGCACACGTCCCGAAGGAAACAACCTGAAAG